GCTCCATCGTCACTGTGGTCGACGTGGTCACCGCGGTAGTCGTCGACGACACAGTTGTGGTGGTAGTCGTGGTGGACGTTTTTGATTCGCTACTTGTTGTAACGGATGTTTTACCCTCGATGCTACTCGATCGTTCGCCTTTGTCCATGGAATTACGCGCTTCCAAATGCTCTCTGAAAAATAAAAAAATTATATCAGTCAGATTAATGGAAAATACAGTGATAAGAATTTTTCATTAATCAGTTTGCTTATGTATTTTTATATTATTAAATTTTAAACTTTTGTTATTTATTTAATTATTACGTTGCTTGGTACGTGAAATAATACATGTGGGAATAAAAATTTTCACTGTACGAATAAAGACGAATTTATGCAAAATTGAACGTAATCATAATGTTAATGATGTTGTGATAATAATTAACATTATTATTCAATAATCAAGAATTGATTAATCATAGTAGAAAGTAATTTACATAGTAATCTTGCATCTGATTGTAATCTATAATCATTAAACAAATATAATGAATTATTTATGTACATTCATTATGGTAATAAAATTAAATTATACGCGGATAAAAAAAACCTATCTCAAATATCATATTTTCAAAAAATAATAATAATCGAAGATTATATTTCGTATCTAAACAACAATGAATATATAAATATTTTCGACCATCCATTGATTAAAAAATATTATCATTTCGAATAAATTATCGATTCAATCATAATCAAAATATAATCATTTCATAATTAATAATCGTCCAATTAATCGTGACTTTTGATTACTCTTAATGATCAGTGATTAATAATTTTACGTTAATAATTAATAATCTTCAACTACTCACACTCGCAATTACTAATCAATTTTGCAACGATCAGATATATTCGCTTAAGATATTAAAAGCTATTAATCCATCCCCATAATTATATCATATCGTATGAATTTTATTTTAACGTGATTTCTTTCACGTATCGAACGTGTAATAAAAATAATATATATAAAATAATAACATACGATCGATGATTCTATCCAAAATAATTCGAAACCAAACCATCGTTAATTAAACCCCTAAAAGTGACTCGAAATTAACCCACTTCGCGTTCAAAGCCGATCGTTTTCTTTATCATTGCACGAAAACCTGGCAAGGGAGGATAATTAAATTCCCTTATAGAGGACGAGAGTTTCGCTCAAAGACAAGGCTAGACACGCGTCACAATCGAAATCAGAGCCACGAGAATCCGATTGTTGGGTCGTTATGTACCTGACAGCATTGCTGGCCGCGCTATCCGTGCTCGAAGCGCTCGGTCTTTGATCGCTTCTGTAATATTTCATGGGCATCACGCCGCTACCACTGTCCATTGATTGCTGCGATTGCTGCGATTGCCTGCGCCTGTGGTGACGGCAATTATGCTTCCGTTCCCCTTGATTTTTCGCCCTTCCACTCTCCCCTGATCCGCGTCGAGATCCTCTCGAATCGGTCTCTCTGAAGCCTGGGAAATAATTTCGAATAATTTGAATAACGAGCAAAGCTTGTTGGATGTTTTTGTCGGATATGTTCTATTAGGATTGGAAGAAATTTTGTGATGAAAAGTGATAAGTTATGGATAATGAAATATCAGATATTGATATTTTAAAATTACAGAAAAATGAGAGAGAATAATTATAGTTTGAACAAATGAAATCAATTATTATCATGGACAAGTAGTGTGATAAAACAAAGAAATAAATAATATGTAGATTTTATAAACATGATTAAAAAGATGGGATTTATTAAATAATAAATTGCTTCATTCTTCAACCATTACATTTGAAACAGTTTATGTTTCTCTGTATCTATTTTGTAGATTTTTATACATTCAAATTTTACATAAATATGCATGACCATCTATCTAAAAGATATACCTAATTAAAAGATTATCAAGCTCATTAAATATTGTGTCAATAATCGTGTTTCAAATCAACAGAAATATTCATGAAAAAATAATAATCGGAATTGAAAATAATTAAGAAACAACATTGCATCAACCAACCTCTATAGGTGGGCGAAATAACCGTAGGGGGTGGTTGCGGCTGAGGCGTCTCCTTCTTTCCCCATAATCTGGCAAAATCATTTTTCAGCTCGGTGATCGTTGAATCTTTTCTCGATTTCGTGGACGACTGGCTTCTGATCCCACTGTCCACCGAGCTCTCCCTTCTCTTGCGCAATCTCTCAAGATGGCTCGCATCCGTGGTCGTTTGTCTGGACCACGGAAAAGATTTCGCTATATCTCCCAATGTTTCACGACGATACAGCTTATTTCCT